CAATGCAAAAAAAATCCCCATGCATTCCGATTAGTTTGCCCGTATTGGAAATCCTTCCAAGAAATGATACCCAGTTCTCGGAAAGATCATATTCTGTGCAAGGTAATTTCGAAGGATTTTTTTCAATTTGGCGATGTTTTCTGCGAAAAGGGTCTACTTTGGTTGCATTTACCGCTTGAAATCAGCAAACTTCCGGTATGCATCATGGGAAGTTGCTTCCGAGTCAAAACTAACTTGGATTCAAGTTGCACGTGCTTTGGTGATGTTCATCTTTTGATCTCCTGAGTGGCTTATTAGTCACACCAAGACTACTTCTCCACGTTCATTTGTTGTTCAAAATGATCGAACATCGGAGATGAGAGTGCGCATCTTCTCCGGACGAAAAGCGGAATTCCTGCGAGACAAATTTCCAGAGGTGTTCACGCAAAGAGAAGAAGTTCGTGTTCGAGATGGGAACGAAGTTAACTGTTACAACTGTAAACACGGAGAAGTTGAATACAATTTGCGACGAGATTGTGATCATTCTTACTTCGCTGGAAGAACTTGTGTCGCTACATCAGCGGGAATTCAAGAGGGCATGCTTCGGACGCTCTTCCAAGTTTCCCGGCGAAAGAACATCGAACGTGATCAGAAGTTTCGAGTCATGCCATCTGCTGCTGAAGTAATTCGAACCGTTCAGGTTTCTACGAGATCGACTTGTTGCTCGGAGGTCTTTCGAAACGACAACGACTGCTGCTAGCAGTCCCCCAATGAAGTTTCTTCCTGTTGGTCCCTAGAGGTGACATGCCTCACTGATGAAGGGCACTTCTCGAAAACCGGATACAAGCTTGTGTCGCCGTTTAGAATCAAAAGTTTTCTCGACTCGAGGAACAAAACTTGAAATTCCATGCATATATATCCTCCCGCCTCATCGCTGCAAACTTCGGACGCGTCTGCAGAAAGTTTTGGTATAGCTTCAACCATGGGAATTCTCTGAGAATAATCCTGATAAATATTAATCACACTTCGCACTATTCCACCAATTTGCATTTTTTCCAAACTTAATCCTTCCAATTGCATTGATGGAAAAGCTCAGAACGAGGGTTTCAACAATGTATGTGGGTTTTACCTCTTTGAAAACATGATTGGGCTCGCCTGCCACCTCCTCTCGCCTTTCCCGATATTCACTTACCTCCTCAACGTATGCACCACTTGCTGAAAAGTCTACTTAGGGTATGTTTACCAATGGTTAAAGGGTCGTAATAGAAAATTGAAGCCTCTCAGGGGCGCCTGCGATTGATGTCAACGGATATCAGTCATGACTACCCTTGGGGACCGAAATGCGATGACTTTCTTTACTCTTATCGAGTACTGTATTTTCGATTTGAAAATAATACTGTCGTTTCCAGTGGGAACAAGGACTCCAAGAATGCGAGAACCGGGTGGTAAATCAAAATCGTTACTCCGCGGGCTCATCCGAGACTGCAAGCTATCTCTTGGAGGAATTCCGGGCACGAAGCCGGAACCTCTCGTTTCCGAGTACGTCTGGTTGCGCCTCGAAGAATTCGGGAAATCTAACCTGATGTAGCTTGCACGTTTTATAATGTTCTGCGTCAAACGTTGGAGACTCGCCCTTGGACTGCGAAGTTAGCAAAAACGAAACTGCTGAGGAAAGTGCTTCCTATAGAAGTAAAATTTCTAGAAGTGGACCATGAACCACGGGAAAGACGGCGTATATCAGATTAGGTACTTCTGGATCTCAAACAGCACGGTTTCCTGAACCGGAATCCGATTGCACCTCTCATATGATTATGGGGATATTTCTTCTCCCGAGGGTAATTGATCAGGGATTCTTGTAACCCTGGGAAAAGATTATTATATTCCCTCTCTATCCGCACTGCATTTTTTCTCTTCTCTCGTAGAATGAGGTTAAAACGATACCGCTTTAATGTCGGCTCACTGAAAGTTTGCATATTCAACGAGAATATTGACCATACTCACTGAACGGAACCTCCTATGATCATATTGATCGAACTGGTTCCTCAGCCAGGTGCTTCTTTCCTCAGCTTTGTCGATTTTGATCTCCTTTTACTAAATATGAGGGCTGCTTGATAAGTTTTATCAATTTTTTCCTTAACTTACTGGGGATTTTCGAAGGATGGAGATGAAATTGCTTGCCGAGAAAAGCTAGTACTGGATCATTTTCTGACCTATGCTCCAATGTCTGCTCACCAGGTTTAAAACCAAATTATAAGACGGAGAGTAGAAAATGCGTCTTATCAATGGAAATTATATGGTCTACCTGATATATTTGCTTGTTCCATAATCAGCAGGGGGTTGAATTGCCAACAAATAAATACGGACTGTACAGTATTGATTCTAATCTCTGAATTTTGAAACGTGAGTGATCAAATCCAAATTTCTTATCCAATTCTTCTCACGGGATTCACTGGATGATCAATAGTGGCTGATAAAGAAACCAACAATAGAGATTGCATATATATTAAACCATTTTTTAAGCTTGCTTTTACGAGTTCATGAACGGAAAGGGAAATATTTCTGCGGAATTCCAGGCGAAGTTTAGACTTTAGACTATTAATTAAAGGATGACGACAAGAAAATTCCCATTCCTTCCTCCAAAGAAATAAAGTACATTCAGACGATGAAAAGAGCGTAATCTTTTTGTGTCAAAAGTTTGATTTTCACTTACAAGCAGGGATACACGGTCGCGGCGTCCGTCCATTTACGGGTGTGTGTTGTGCGATTCGGACTCGAGGTGCGTCGGTTCATGACTTCCAGGAAAAGAAAGCTGACGTCGGATCGATCCTGTCGACGTTGGAACGTGACGTGGTATATTCGTCCGTCGGAATAAATTCTTCCTTACCCCCGTTTCCCCTTTTGAACCCAAGGCCTGTCTCGCATTAGGAAATGATGACCTCGCAGTGAAGGCGGCGTTTCGCGCTTCGGCAACGAATGGTTCTCGATGAAAGGTCGTCGTCAAACAAGCTTCAATCGCTAATTCTTTCTGTGTCTATCGATTTCGCTCATATCAACGTCGCTGAATATTGGATCCTTCCTTGTCTAGACTGTTGGCGGGAACAAATTACTGCTAACTGCACGTGTTGTTTGACGGGTAGTTTTTTCGATGCCACGGGCATATTTTTTTTATGCACCTGCAGAACACCTGTTAAAGAATTGCCTGTATTTTTTCAAACTTCCGTTATGTTTAAGAAATATATTAACTGATCAAAGTGCAACGTTGTTAGACGTAAACTTTCGAGGAAACCTCTTTCCTACGAAGTGTTGAGGAATAACTGGAAACACATTTAATTGGATGAAGGGTATCATTAAAGCAGCTCCACAATCAGCGTGCCATTGGATAAGCATCATTAAAAGCACGGAACATATAGTACTGTACAGGCTTGTTGGTGTTGAATGATGTTCCACTTGTGTAAACAAAATCTGTAATTTGTGCAATTATGTACGCATTGACAAGCTGAAGTATCCACTCGACTCAAGTTGGCGGGTTTGGAGAATCCTTTTGACGCTTTCTCGAGAGGCTTTGGATCATGCAATTCACTAGGAGCCTGTTTCTGCCTGCTTCGAGAAGAATCAGCGAAGATTGATCGCTCGTGGATGTAGCCAGTTGTTTAAAGCATTCAAATGAGCTTCATCGAACATTCGTGACTCGACGGAAGTGAAGTACAGCAAACTCCGGCGATCAATCATATACCTGCAAAACAAGTGCATATCGAGGCGGCAGCTGACTATAAAAGTGTTTACTACCCTCTTCGAATATGGAAAATATTACATAGGATGTGGACTCCTATCCAGAAAGTGAAAAAATCTAGTTCCTGGGACGAGTATGGTACTAGTATAGGGAGGTCTCAGATTGAATCGTGTGTGTCCCGAGGATGTTGGTTTTGTCTCGAGCATTCGAATGCTGAAAATTTATTCGAAGGTCTTGGGTCGCCGTTTTCGGGTCTGGTCCAGGGTCGTGTGAGACCCTGGAAATGGGTAGAAGACAAAATGGTGTGATTCCTCGTGCTCCCGAAGGAATTCGTGACTGGACCGCCTCAACCGGAAGCATCCCGTGGGAGTTGTCAGATTTCAGAATCGTGTTTTGTTATTCAACGCACGATGTACGCCAAAATTTAAAAGCAAGGAAACATTTTCCGCAAAAAATGACGGTTTTGTATATGTCCCGGTCGTACGACTGTTTCTTTGATTGTTGACGCCTCCTTGAGAGCTTGGAAAGTAACACAGTTAATGTAACCTGAGGAAATGACGCTATTTCCATCTTCATCAGAAAAGAAGATGCTTCAATGCATCTATGGACGAAGCCCATTAGTCCTATCATATTTTACATAAAACCACATCACGACTTGTTTCTCGCTTCGTCGGAATGAAAAATTCATATAGTGTTCTGACAGTTTGTTTAAAATTGGTTTCCCGTTCGACTCTCTGGAATATTGAGCAATTTTTCTGAAGAATACCGTATCATGTAATCAACAAATTGGAATATGTTTCCAAGGATATCTTCAGTGATCATATTAACCGAAGATGTCGTCGTAGATTTTATCTAAATGAATAGCACACGTATCCAATTTTTTCCAAGTTTTATACCGTAATAAATAACATACGCTGCGAGCTTGTGAGGCCAGTATTTATTGTCGGTTTCACGATAGTTGAACAGAAATACGTACTCATGAACTTCACTGACTCAATTTGTTTTTGGACGGTCAATATCTTTCGAAATTGTCCCTCGGGGAGCATATCAGGATATTGAATCAAGGAATTAATTGGCGATCGACAAAGGCTTAAGGCTCTCATATGTAGATGAATAATGAAACTTGGAAAGCAATGACCCTTCCAAGGTATGGAGGAATTTTCCTGACGTTTTGCCCCGAAAGTTAATTTTTCGTTACGTGTGACGCTAGATTAAAAACAATTGCGTATTCTATAGTTCTGTTCCACTGAAACATTCCACCTAAATACCATTTTCTTCTTCGATTTTGCAGGATTCGCTGGTACGCCGGGTTATCTGTCTCCGGAGGTGCTCAAAAAGGAGCCGTATGGAAAAGCTGTCGACATTTGGGCATGTGGTGAGTGTTCATCATGATCATTTGCTATGTCTTTTCATTGAATGTTTTGAGAAATGTTTAACGAGGCGTAATTGTATTTTGTGAAGAGAATCTCATTATTGAACGGACTTAATGCGTCAAAATCCCGATGAAGTTAATTAAAAGTTTAAATTGTTTGATCTGCTGGAGTACACTTACTCGCCGAGATGGTAAAAAGGTTTTAAATAAAAACTGTGTATCCCGGTTGTGGTGTTTATGGTTAAAATTGCCTCCACCCGGGTTGCATTATCAGGTGCTGTCTCGAGATGCACTCGCGATAATTAAACATGAAGGGGGGGGGGGGGTAAAAGATAAGTATTTGCTTCTATGCGACTGATGCATCTTATGATTAATCATCAGCGTGCGACGATTCTACCGCTTTCGACGATCCGGAATCTTCAGGGAAAAGACATTCTTCGTCTCTTTAGTGATTCACTGATGTCCTCGAATCAGCTTGTTTTGATGCTGTATTCCAATTTTAAAAATCTGTAAGAGGGATTTATCCTCTTTCCGATGAAATAATTTTCATTCAATTTATTTGTCTTCGCTGCTCATGGTGTAAAACGTGTGTAGAGTATCTGAAAAGGTTCTAGTCCCATCTCGATGGGGCTTGAAACAGGAATGTGAGGAGATAAATTGAAATTTCGGGGAAATATTTCAGAAGTTTCAGTAGGATCGCAGGTAATGGTCACGAGATCAATTAAACTTTCTGAAAAACTCCAGAATGAAAGGAAAACTATTTTTTCTTGCGGCGCAGTTTTGCACTCGACATTATCTAGAATGACTCTGGGTTTACGATAAATTTACTTCGTATGATGACATTTTCGTGAAATTAACATGATCATTATAGTTGAACGACCAGCTTCGGATTTCATTTTTCGTTATTACCCTTGTAACGTGATGAAAAGGTATTTCATTTGTCTCATTCAGAATAAATTTTAGGGTTTTTAGAGTTAATTTTTAGTACTCTGTGGCTGTAAGAAATGGCTTGCGTCTGTCTCTGTCTTACGATGGCTTGTCATAGACACGGTAGTGCGGTGTCCTGTTTGAGCTTCTGAAGTGTTTCACGAGGCGCATGTGAAGATTTAACGGTGGGAAACTTGAAGTGCTACTCGGTTGCATTTTGCAGGAGTGATCCTCTACATCCTTCTGGTGGGCTATCCGCCTTTCTGGGACGAGGACCAACACAGGCTGTACGCTCAAATCAAGGCAGGAGCGTATGATGTGAGTAGTCTCTTCCGCTTCCTCTCCAGGTTCTCCGCGCGGGTATGAATTCATGGCGCGGTTTCGAGGAATCGATGGTCCTGGGAGGGGCAGACTGGGCCAGGAGGCTGTTGCATGCAGTCGACTGGGTGTGGGACGAGAAACACGCGTCTCGGGGGTTGTATAGGAGTGTAGGAGGAGAGGCTGAACACGACCCGTGCCTCCGGGCTCTCGTCTCCAACGCGTATATACCGACGAACATGAAGCATTCGAGGAATTGCACTCCGGATTGCCTTCACGATTGCCTATACGAGTTCGGATTCGTCGAACCAGCGAACCTGGTTCTCTCGCTTTCCGACACCTCCGTCGCTTTTGACAAGATAAAATCCCCTCGCTTCGCAGGAACTCCAATTCTCTCACCGCAGAAGGCCTTGACGGGCTTTGCTGCAAAATCCGCCTGGTAGCTCTGAGTTTATTCATAGGATTATTATAGAACGCGTAAAACGTCTTGGACACTGGGAAAGGAAATCTGCATGAAGTGACGCTTCATGATGACAGGTGAGTTATGCATGCGATGCAGAAATTACGAGATATTTTGAATACATTTTGAAAACCGCATCTCGCCTTCCAGAGGGAATAATCGAAGGGAGACGCGCTCTAGCTTTCTTTCCAATTATAGGCTTGTATCAAAGCTTGACATTCTCATTTCACGGGTAACCACGTATCGGAACGCAATCATGCAAATTCAAATGAAGTGATGTGGCGTGTATGTGCGCATGAATTTTTATCGCCAGATGCTCAGCGATGATTATTCAAATGATTTCATGCTTGATGGGCATCGAAATCTTCGTATTTGGAGAATTTCCACACTGCATGAATATCCGTTTTTATTTTGTCTCGCGAATTTCGGAGCGGATGGATAAATTTCTGTTGGTCTCCTCATGACGCAAAGAAGGCTCATGTAAGCTGAAACGCGAAGTGGTTTCCATTTCATCTTCAATTTGGGTAACAGGGGAACTTGAAATCACTTCCGAGACCATCGTGTTTCGTAAATCGAGCTCTGATGCAATTCTGTCCGGATTTCCCTGTCACACTGGCTTCCAAAATACGACCTTCGCCGCTGGCGTCTGGCCTGGCTGACTGATTCTCGTTCGCATGCTTCTGCGTGTGCGCCTTGCGCAATTTCCCCTTAGTGTACCACCGGTGTCATTCAGGATTTCTTCGCAGCAGTTAATGGTCAAGCCTAAGCTTAAACTGAGCTAAATATTTCATGCAGCGCATGAGTCAAAATTACCCGCACTTACTCGAATATACGATGCATAAAAATAGGTTTTGAAAATCTGGGCGCCTTTTACATTCGATGGAACTTCGAATTACGATACCTCCATTGATTGATTCGTCTAACCAAAACACTTAGAATTTGTCTTGAATGCGGTGCAGCGAACACGCAATGTAATATGCATTTAATGCATGGTAAACGCTATTCTAAAAATCCCAGAACATCAATGCGATCATGCATAAAACATGCATCGAACTACAAGAACTGCGATCAAAAAGAAAAACAATGGCCTATATTTATTAGAACGGTGCAATATTCGTAATTTAAGACATGCGAGGTGGGTTACACAGAAAATGGTATACTGACATTTACGCTCTTCAGAAAACATATGTGTGGCTTCAGATTAATGGTCAACGGAAGATTATGATATAAATGTGCAAAATTACGTCTGATGAGCCAGCGAACGTGTTTTTAATTTTGATGAGCTAAATACTGTGTACGTCTTGTAATCGATAGTGCGCCCTACAATCAGATAATTTACACGCGGATTATTCGCAATTTTGGGTGCTGCCTGATCTAATGAAATTTATCCGATCATAAATCATTATATGAAGGAGCATTAGGTATGTTATAATTATAATCAGGTTTCCAAGGTATAGAGCGCATGTCTTCTTTTGACATTCTAAGCGATGAACTGTTTGTCTTGATACGAAAGCATCTTCAGTTTCATATTCTCTTTAAAATGATTCTGAAGTATAGCGAGTTTCAAAGCATTTATACCTGGCCGGCCAAGTCTTCGAATGACTCAGATGAAGTACTCGAATCTACGCAAAAAAATTTTTGAATCACTCAGACCCAAATATTTTCAATCTGAAGAATTTGTTAAGAAGGTTTATGATTCAGAGTCACTCTGGCGCAGAACGGGGCAACCACGAATGAACTTGAGTTGTCAAGTTAATCCACTTGTCTATTTTAGCTGTCTTGAATTTTCTGAAGTGCATCAGAGTTCCCGGAAAATCCCGTCTTGAGGAGACAGGCAGAAACATTAACACGTCAGCAAGGCACGTTGATAAGGCCCAATTGGGGAGCCGGGTTTTGCTCAGTTACATTTGCCCGGACATGTTCAACGTCCGTGCTTCGAAAGCAACCAATGTCAACTACTCCAGATGAAAATACATAGACACGGTTCGGTCTTTTTTTTTTCTTCTGCTATAGCTTGCCTCATGAAAACACGCTTTGCTGAAATTGAAGTGCTAGCCGCCTTCCTCTCAATATGGTGAATTGAAATACTGAAAATTACTCGGTAAAGCCTCGATTGAACGCGGAGGTTTTTTTTTTTTTCAACGGACGAACAGAAATCAAGTTCACGGATAAAGTACTGTATTCCGCTGCATAAATTCAGGAAGACTTCGTTGACTGACGGCCTTGGAGGGAAAAAAGTGGATGTTGGCTTCCGTCGAACGCATTTGCTTAATCCGTTTTGCTGATTAAGTCGCTGTTGCTATGCGGCACGAACGTGTACTGCACCGCTTTAGTTGAATCGTTGAGATACTGGGGGGTATAAAATCGGACTGAAGCGTCGATGGACGACGGAAACCTCTATAAGTTGCCTGTATTCACGAGATGCCAGAAGTCCAGAAAAGCTGTCGGATGGGCAATATCGTTGCAAGTCTGCTGGGAAGGGAATTCAAGTCAGCCGAGGTCGGGAAAATCGACGGAAAATTGGCTGCGGACCAGGGCTGTTTCCCGGTCGTTCCGGCGGCGTATTGATGAGATTCCGGTGGCAACAGAGGTCAGATGCCGGGTAAATGATACCGTACCTGCTGCTCCGGGCAGAGTTCCTTTTCTCCTCTTTCGTGTGGAAATTGACTTTCGGTGGGAGCGGCGCCGCCGACGCGGGGCAGGAGAGAAAATGGTTATAAATTATCTCGTCAGTCATGCCGGGCTGTCGGGGGCGCATGCTTTTGAGGGAAGTTTCTTCTGACAAGTCTTGGGTTCCTTCGCGCGTTCGGATACTCGGTCAAACGCCCTGCCGAGGGGCTTACGGGGTACGAGGGGCTTTGGCGGGGCGCCAGCAACGCGATTCCGCGTCCCCTTTGTCGCTGTCGTGTTTTTGCGTCGGCGGTGCCTGCGCCGCGGACTCGAGTGGAATGGCCTGGAGCGGGAGAATCCGCCTCTTCTGTGCTGTGCCGCCGCCGGCGACGGCGGTTTGGAGTCTTTCCAGATTTCCGCAAACGGCTGCCATCTGCTGTCCTCGTCACATGCGGTGCTCGTCATGGACGCCAGCAGTCTGCACTAGTTGTCCTGGTCGTGACCATTAAGGTCAGCCAGACCATCACGCAGGTGCCATCTAGTGGACCATTACGAGCGCCAGAATTAATCCATCGAAACTCTGCTGATCGAGTTCCGCTCCATCTCTTAACAGCCTGTGTGGGACTGGAATATCCTGAAGAGACGAGGTCCTCTACTTCGCAGATGCACCGCAATAATATTGAGCTGGAATCACTCACATACGAAGAATGTTCCTTTGATCAAAAATAAATAAATTTAGATAAATGTAATGCTCCGTCTATCTGAAAAAAAGAAAAGAAAAAGAAGAAACTTGCATTCGCATCTCTTTCTCATCCAAGCACTCCGTTGATGTTCTGCATAATTCCTTCGATTCAGTGAATTTTTCCCCCGAGAAAATCTGGTGTGCTCCGATATTACCCCAAGTTTTGGACGTAAGACACACACTGAGGCTATATTTCCTTAGTTTCTCCTGAGTGGGCCAAAATATCTAGGACGGATAGATGAAAATCACTAAGTACAATATTTACAGCAATCCCCAATGAAGGCAAGTGTATGGTGACAGCAAATAACCGAGTCTCGAAAGGTATTGATAGACCACCCCTCGAGCCGTCATATTTGTTATTTTTACCAGCTCAAATTCCCTCTTCGCTGACGATGCGCCATACCCTATTTTAGGCGGACACACCAGCCGTACTTTGCTTTCGAGCGTGTCGAGAATGAATTATATCATAAATTTTTCCCGCTTTTCCAAGTGGTTCTCTGTAATTAAAAAATGCCTTCGTAAAAGTTCCATCGATTCCCGACTTTGAGCCGACATTCTGTGCTTACCCGAGAGACGAAAAGATGAAATTCTTCCGATTCCTTGATGTGGAAGTGAGGAACGTCTCATGCGTTTTTTTTTTTTCAATTGAAGGCTGGATGAACTCGGGGATTGGGATCCTTTCAAGGATAAAAATTTGTAGCCGGTAACTGAACTATTTTCAGAAGAAAGGAAAGAAATGGACCCTCTTTGTGTCCGGGATCGATCGACGATGGAAGTAGGTGTACGAAAGGACGGCAGCTTGACAAAATCCGCTGATCGGCGCATGTGGAGTTATTTATCGTCAGATAATGGGGCCGCAAGATGGCCGGTCTACACGGCCAGGGAATCCTCTGGGGATTTAACGTCAGCGTAAACATTTGTCTTGGCCAGGAGTTGATGGCCGTGAATCGGGTGTACGGGTTCGGGCGGACGGGTCGTGCACGTGAGCCAGGCGACGCAATGCTTTTGTCCCGGGACGCGATCACGTTCCCATTAATATTTCACGGATTTCCTAGTATTCCTCTTCAGGGATAACTGTGTTGCAAGTTCGCGTGTCCCCTACTCCCTCTCTCGGAACCCCGAGGTCTGGAACCTGGGTCGGAAGGTTGTTGCACGACTGGGTCGTGGCTTGGGAGGGGCCTGTGCTGT